AGTTTTGTGTAAAAATGGTACGTTAAAAAAATCAGTTCAGATTTTTTTCAAATGAAATTTTTTTCAGTATTTTTTTTTTCGATAAGGCTGATGCAAATTTTTATTTTTATTTATGTCACCCCCCCCCCCCTTTCAAAATGTCAAAATATTGAGGGGGCAAAAAAAAATTGGTTTAAGTATTTTGACGAAAACTGTCCTAGTTTTGGTTTGCCATGTTGAAAAAATTCGACTGTTGAGTTGTTTTGGTTTGCCGTGTTTTACGCTAAACTGCCCGTTTTTATCGTTTACCCGTCATCAACAGCAACCGTGAGTAAAAATGACGTTTTCGTTATGTCAATGCACGAAAATTCGCAGGACGCTTCTCTCACGCATAAGTGCTGTCGTTTTTAGGTGGTTTCTTTTCGCTATCTCTTTTACTCTGAAGCAAAATGAGAGGTTAGACACGGTGCACTGATCTATAGTAAGCACTCCGCTGCATTTTGCTTTGATAAACGCAGTAAAAAAGTGTACTCTTTCGGACCAAATTGCTTTTCGTAGATCAAAAGTTGTGTTTCAGTGCAATCTTCGTTCACAAATGATATTGCGTGCCCGTGTATCACAATATGGTAAGCTGTGTGTACTTTGTATAGCCTAAAAACTGACATCAATGTTTCTTTCTAGGAAAAAAAGCTCCCGATGGCCATCCGGATCGAAAGAGACGGGAAATTGGTCAATCAATCGATCGTTTCGACCACGGCAGATAAATCTTTCTCCGACTTGATTAGTTAGGTGATGGGGTCTGTCGAAATTGAAACTATCTACGCCGGATCAAAGTCACTGGAAAAGGAACATCTCTTCGAACTTTCACTGACTACCACAATTGATGATGCTATTCTTGCTATTGGCTCTTGCACAAAAGTACTGTGCATCTTAAAATCCATGATCCCTCTTGTGAAGAAGCCACTTCCTAGTGCTTTTGATACGTTGATGAACAATGCATCCATCCTCAAACGTCCGGATAACCGATCGGAAAATCGTGGTCAAGACGGTATTTATAACCACACAGTTGATTATCTTCAGGATCTGGACTTGGGATTCCGAACGTTCCAAAAGGTTGAAATGGAACTTTTTATGTCCACCGTAGTTTCGGTACTTTGGTACCTCGACGGCCATTGGGAAAAGTTTTCGTCAGCGCCAGGTGTATCAAAAATGCCACAGAGGCTGCATTTTGCTCCTGAAAATCAAGACACATTTTGGAAGCTGCATCATGGAGATCAAAAAAAGAAAACTTTACCGCGGCTCAAGAAACTTGACTTGATTGAGCACTTCAACAAACTTGAGTTCCTTTCTTCAAAATCATTCATCCAGGCAGCAGCATGGAGATCAGTTTTAGATGACGTGTGTCAACTGAAAGTTTGTATCGCAGAATATATTGCCCATATCAATCGGGCGGAAGTACGTGGGAAAGCGGAAGAGGAAACCATTTCTCATCGGGATAATCGTTCGCTTAAGAAGGTACCAGCGAAACCGGACCGGAAAAACATGAGCAAGATTCTTTACGCAGCGCTGGAAACGGAACTAGAGTCGGCACCCCCTTACGTTGAGCATAACGTAGTTTTTTTTTGCACCTACCGAACGTCGCGCTAAATACAACTATATTGCTGGCTTAGCGTTTGAGTTCACCATCTACGTTTATCGATCCTTCAAACCTGGCGCAACGTTTGTATGGAAATCCCCAGACGACGATCAAACTGCTCTGGCAAACACGATCGCTCGCATCGAGAAAAATATTGAAGAACGTGTTAAACACGACAAAGCTGTACACATGAACAACTTGTTCGGCAATACAGCACAATGGTCCATGGATAACGTCAGCAAGCTGATATCGTTTATAGCAGGTTAGTTTGTACTATCAGACTGTAACATGTTACTGTTTTTTACCTTTATGCTTCATGCTTTGTTATTTTTAGATGATGATCATCTCTCGCAGGACGACACAGATGATACTGTGGCTGAATTTAAACTTTTATTGGACGAAGGGTATGAGCTCTCTGATGCTTTGACATTGGTCGAACAGGCTCAAGAGTCGAAAGCAGAAAAATTTGAGCATTTCTAGAAAGCGGTGGAAAACGTGCTAGCTGAAAACGATTACACCGTTGCTGACGAACGACGTAACGGAGAAACAACTTGGATATCACCATTGTGTGTTTCTCTACGTGATTTGATGTCACAATGTGACAGAAGAATGGAAGAGCTTTTCCCGGATTCCGACAACAATTTTATTCCATCGTATGAATATTTTCGATTCCAGTTTGTTCCTCGAAACAGCAAATCAGTAGTAGGGGGCAGATATTATGGTCGATTCAACGTGAAGTTTTGATTGCAAAAACGAACACTACACAAAGCTCATGTAGATCAACATTACGGTGCTAAGCAATTCAAGTTTTTGAAAGTTATGGCGGGTAATATCTTTTAAATATCTGTTAAATTTTTATTACTTAATCTTATCATTAACGCAGGCATCTTTTCGGATCATTCGCTAGTACACTTCTTAGACGACAAAGCGTCCATTCCTGTGGGGTTTACTGGTGCACCAGTAAGTGCGACGCGTCGTCAGCGGCACGTATTGATGGCTGGCTTAGATGGACGTGGTTTAAATGCCATGGATCATGACAATATCCCCCAACATATCGTACCATCAGTTTCCATAAAACTTATACCACCGAAGGATGTATCAGAATCATGGTATAAGGGGAAGCCCCTTATCATTTTGAAGGATGCCATTTTCGAAGCTTCCAATGCTTTTAGGCATGCCGCAGAATTGATTAAGCATACGGATGAGGACGTTGATGACCGACCAATGATGTTTATCGGCACCGACGGTGGTCCGGATCACAACGTCACAAGTATTCAAGTGATCTTAAGCTATTTAGCTTTATTCTTCGAATTGGATCTTGATTTTTTGTGTGCAGTTCGAACTCCTCCCAATTTTTCGGTCATCAACCCAGCGGAACGTTTTACGAGCGTTGCTAACATTGCTTTGATGGGTGTCTCTTTGGCCAGAAACCATCTAGGTCAAAATGAACCAAAAGTACGGTCTCTGTTGTTAAAAAAGCAATGGAGAGATGCACAAAGCAAGCATCCTAATATCGACTACCGTCAGATGGCGCTGGACGGAACCAAAGATGCGAGGGAACTTTTGACAAAACGTTTTGAGGCATTAGTGTACAAAGGTGAAAATGTTGTGGTTGGTGATGCGGCCACGGATCAAGAGATCGATCGTTTGAAGCGAAAAATATCAGACGTCTGGCCCGAGATAGACATGGACAAAAAGCTAACCAAAGCGGATGTACTAAAAGTTAATTCTGTGAAGGACTTTTTTGAAAAGCACGTACGGTGCACTACTTATGCAATGCAGGTGAAGAAATGCAAGGACGTAAATTGTAAAGCTCATGCGCCAGTAAGGCTGGATGAAGCGACTTTCGACAGGATTGCGTGGCTTCCAACACCGGCGGTGATCGGAGATAAGTTTGCCGAATTCCATTCGGTTTATGGACAAGAACCAACTGATGCAGATGTTCCTAGTGAAAATGCAGCCCGACAAGACCAAGTCAATGATCTTCCGAAAGCACCGTTTCCATTGGCACACACTAGAGCACGAATGATCGTATTCTGCACTGAATGCAACTTTCCACGTTTGCTGTATTCAAAATACGCGCTTGATAGAGAAACGCTCTCAAAGCTAGAGAATTTCTTTGAAGAAAAGCTTTATGTATGCGGCTCTAGTTTGGACTCGTTCCCAGAAGTGTTTCAAAATCCAAAACTGGTTTGTCACGATGCAGTTTCACTTCACTACTACCAAACAGGGCCATCTCTTCCAGGATATTATGATTTATGCGCTGAATGCGTCCAAAGTAACTAAACTCCCAACTTTTGAAGATGAATGAGACAGATTTTAAACTAAGGTTATGTGAAATTATTGAAAGACTAAAGTCTGATGCGCGAAGTTGTCAAAATCGGCTCATTACTGTAGCGATCAACATTCTCAATGCAAGTGCTGGCACTTGGTTCTCAAAACTAAAGAGGCGGAATTTCCAATGAGACGACATGTCAAAATTGGAACAATCGATTATCTGTCAAAGTCATACGAAAAATTATTCCAATCGAGCAGGAGACCTGTCAAATGGATAAGATGTCGTCTCTTTACCCAATTTAGTCTCTTGACTCAAAACTTGTTATCATGTTTCATGCTGTTCCTGTGCCCTTATTTGAGCGGACCCATGGATGTTGATCGTCACACACAAAATTATTGAAGGCTAAGTAAAACGTGTCAGCTCGAAAAAGAAGAGCTTGTCTTTTGAAGCTTGCGAAGGTGACGAAATAAAGCACATGGATGCATCCAATGATGTTTCATTCGTTGGCGGTTTTCTCCATGGGGTAGGTACTTGTAAATTGAATATTCACTTATTGATCAATCAAATCAGCAGATAAGAGCAGCCTTCAATTTGCTGGCACCTAAGCGTTCGTTGGAAATGATACTTTCCCAGTAGAGAGGTGTGATAATTGATGCAATTTCGTAGACAAAGGTAGTCGCTGGCAGCAACGGAAGTTGACAACTTTGGCAGTGGAATTTTCATACCTAATTTTCATATACAGAATCAAATTAGCCCTCTAGAGTATGTGGATGGAGCTTGTTTTCATTATAGGAGAAAGAAAAAATACTATAATCACGAGAAAACAGGATTAACAACTGTACAGTTATGGAACGATGCTTCATGGCATTTTCTGTGATGGTTGAGACAAAATCAAATGCTGTCGATTGAAAATGTAAACTGACCATCATTTGAATCAAAAACAAACAAAAAACCAACTCATGAATGCAAACCCATTTTCACCAAATCCAATGCAAACATTATGAAGTGATTAATATCTGCCACCAAGTGTCACTCATTTTCGAATGAACATTTTCACTCGTCCAAGGACGTTCGCAAACTTCTATATACATATTCCATTCAACTCACCGAGCAGGTCTTGCTGTGGCACCCACGGCACGGTTCGTATGTTGCTGCTTCCATCCAGATCGATGCCATTGTCCCATTTCCATAGTACATCATAATGCAACGTTTTGAAAGCGTCCACAAACAATTGCACGTTTCGCTGGCTCACCGTGTCGGTTCGAATGAGCGTTCCGAGGCTGAAATAAATGACACCGCGGTGTGAGTTGTCCAAATATAGCCGCAGATCTTCGGGCAGCGGCTTCGGAGGTTTCACGTGAAGGAATCCCAACTGAATCGATTGTGGAACTGTTGGCCGGATGAATCCCAGCGAAGGGTCTGCATTGGTCAGAAGGAAATCGATACGACCCATCAGCTGGCTGGATTTGCTCATGTTGCTTCCGAAATGGCTCTCGATGATTTTGTCATATTTCTCAAACTCTTTTGGTAAGATAAAATAATCCAGAACTAGTCTGGTAATGAATGCTTCCAGTCGTTGCACGAACCGGAGATTACGAGTGAATTTGTGATGATACTCCGGATGAGCTACTGGATTATCAATATTCCCAACCGCTCTGTGGGCGACCGAAATCGATTCAATCGACGTAATCCCAATCAATGGAGCACCGTAGAACTCAGCGAACGCGTAGAAAGGAGTCATCTGATAATATTCAACAATAACTGCATCAAACTGGTCCCGCCGATCCTTTATCATGCGTTGCACTTCCGGGTGACCCAATTCCGCTTTGATAAACATTTCCGTCACAAGAAGCACCTGTTGTGTGACCTTCAACGTGTTCCACCCTTCCTGGCTGACCTTCGCCACGTCACATTCACTTTCAACCACTTTATACACATAGCTCCAATCTATTTGCTGAATACTGCCGTTAACCGCTTGCAGTGGGATGGGATCCGGAGTCATTACCGTCAGTTCGTGTCCCCGCTCGACTAGGGCCTCGACGAACGCACGAAACACAATCTGATGGCTTCGGGCCGGTGATGGGAAAATTGCCAATATTCGCGCACCTTCAACCGCACTCATCAAGAAAGCCATCACCATCAAAGGGAGCAACCGAAAACGGTGTCGATTTTCCGAAGGAAGCATTTTCGCGCTGACACGATCAAGGGCTGTACTAGACCGCGAGATAAATCCGTCCCATCATTTTATATCAAACCGATAATTGGTGTCATGCTTACTCGGTAGGTACACCCAACCGGAAAATGTAAGATTCTATTACAGATTTGCATGAAATGTGTGCATAATTTGCAATGTTTCCGAACATAAACAGATTCTAAAATGTGGTCGCCGGAAGGCTTTGAAACAATCGTTTGTTTGGTTGTGAAGGTCGAAGTAAAAACTTGCCTGTACTCTGCATTATATTGCAAGAACTGCCGTTACAGTTTTGCATGGACTTTGTTCAAAATATTGTACATGTGACTGAAAATCAAAATGGCATCACTGGACTTCCAATGTCACTAAATGTTAATTTTGATGTCGGACGTCGCGTGTCCCACACGCGCGTTTCAATTTGGGGTGGGTGTGCAAAAATATACGGATGAGCTGCTTTCATACAATGTTTATTAGTCTTTGGCACTTGAATGTCAATCAGAAATTTGCTGCGCAAAAATTGGCACGCAGCACTTGTGAAAATTTGCTTCTCATTCTGATGTATTAACTTTCATCCACACCACATGCTGAGAACGAGGAGATGACGGAAGAGCGGATTGTTGATGGGGTATCTCTAACGAATTAGACAAATTTAAATTAGCTGCTAGTTTATTCAACGATAATTTGCAAATTGATTTTTCAGTGAATACATTCTAACACTGCCTAGTCCGTAAGAGTTGTTTACTTTCATTAGATATTGCAAGGTCTCAGAAACATAAACATTGAAACTGACAATGTAGAAAAAAAAGTAGAAGAGTCTGTGCTTAGGTAAAGTGACCAGATATTTTCCGGGCTAATGCGGGACGCCCTGTCCAAAATACTGAGGATGAATGAAAGAACCATTTTTCTAAGGAAAACAACAATTTATTTATATCTAACAAATCTTATGAAAATTTAAACATATTTTTCGGCTGAGTGCACCTTCTTAAGCAAAGCATTATTTTATGAAATCATCGTATGAAAACTATCACAAGTCTCATGAAAGTTTTGCCTGACCTGTAGTACAGATTACAAAGTATCAACGGTTAGTTGTGTCTTCTCAGTGGTCCAAATTTTGTTAACTACAGAAAACACTCGCTCTGTAACAGCATTAGTTCCTGGAAGACACAAAGCAAATTCTACTATCTTTCTGAGGTTTCTAATTGGAATGCCATTTCTGTCGAAATAAATAAATATCTCTACCCATCTATTTTCAACTTTTGTGTTGCTCTCTTTCTAACCCTTAATTTTGTCTTCATCACAGTATTTCTTAATATAAGCTACTTCGTCGAAAAGGTCTCGCTCATTTTTATCCGCCTCAAGTAAATCATTATTTCCGCTGATGCAGTGTGCAGTAGTTGACAAAAGTTTTGTTGTTGTTGTTATTGTTGTTGTTCCTTTTTCTTGAAATGTCATTTCATACCCTTCAGTATTAGTCGAACCCTTAAGAAATGGATTTAAAATTATGCGCGCTCTATCTGGTGGAATTGAAAATAAATAAGAGTGCACTAATTTTCATTTTATAATCATTTTTCAAATGCGGGACGTTTTCCGGGACATTTGGTAATCCGGGACGTTTTCCGGGACACTTGTAAATGCGGGACATGTAGGATAAATCCGGGACTGTCCTGCAGAATCCGGGACGTCTGGTCACTTTATGCTTAGGGGTACAAATGGAAGGTTGACGCGAGGGGCACGCAATAACCTTTTTGAATGCGTTGGATTTAAAGTACAAGGTGTTTAACTATGTAATTAAGTAATTAAAAACGAAAATTAAGTATGTCATGTAATAAAAATTAATAATCAAAGCAGTGCCAGTGTAATTACTGTAATTAAAACACGTACTTCAATTTGCTTACGTAATTAATGTAATTAAAAATTAATTTTCTGTAATAAATGTAATTAAAGCTACACAAATGTAATTAAAAACGTACCCAAATCCTCATTCTTGAACTATTTAAAAAAAAATTAAGAAAACCCTTAACAGATACTCGAATGAATTAATTTATTCAAAAACTCTTCTTACACCCTGAAATACGCATATTAATGTTTTACTAGATTACAAACATGTCCAATTCTGCGAATACTGAATACTTATACTTAATTTCCTGGAGCACCATGCTAGAGATGGAAACTGAAATAATCCACTCGCGACAATCGATTTCACTTTCGTTTTGTACGTTCAACATAATGTCGTATCTAGTGCACTGTATTCGTTGAATAATGCGCTTTAATGCAGAACTAGAATAAAATCGATTGTCACGAGTGGGTTATATCGGTTTACAACTCTAGCGACAATATACAGTGAAAAGGAAGTGATAGTCATAATGAGGGCCGTGATTGCCATACAAATGAAATGGGAATCACTCAGTTGTGACGACAAGTCTTCAAATTTTACATTTCCTTAAATTCAAGCAATTCCTCGGGCAAATTTCCTCCCGATCAAAAAATGTTCGAATTTTAAGCCATGCTCGCAGCACAGTTCGACAGATCAGTGCCAACATTTCAAAGAGACGTAATTGCTTTTGTAAACAATGGCTTTAGCAGCTGATTTCTCGTGAATAAAAGCCCACTCATGAAAATTAATGACATCAACAGGTAGATGAATGTTTCATCTACCAGCTAGCATTGGTAATTTGGAGAAGTAAGCATTTATTTGTGAGAAATCAAGAGCTAAAGCCATTGTTTACAAAAGCAATTACGCCCCTTTGAAATGTTGTCACTGAGATGATGATATTAGCTTGTGCCTGAATTAACAGATTCAATGGAAGATGTATTTGCATTTGCATTAATTTTCTGATGTTACGCGTGAATTCTTCGATTATTTCAATATTTATTTCAAACTTAATATTATTATACTAATAATAATTAACAGATTTAAGGCAGAGTTCATTACCAAAAAAAAAATATAATCAGGTTTTGGTTGCAGACATTAAGATGATTCAAACCAATTGTGTGCTTTTATTTGTATTATCGCCATCATATGATCACATCCGTATTCAGAATTGACGCGATAGCACTTATGAAATTCGCCTCCCCATTGTTCATCTTTCCATGGGTCAACTAAACAATACTATGGGCAGAACTCCAAACCGATAGGAAACGATGAGTCCCATGTGCACAGGATACGAAATGATCGTTACCGATCAACTTGACACACTCAAGTTATCCGTGCTGGGAAGACAATTGCATACCAGCTGCGATTTTTTCCCGGAAGTAGCGCAGCGTGTGAATGTCCAAAGTATTCATCAGCTCCAGTGTCCGTTCAGCTGTCTGGGATAGCAAATTTGAACTCTTAATATGGTCATTACCGATGGAGTTTCGTAAAATAATGAAGTTTGATATGTCACACGAGGGGTTCTGATTCTTATTGGGAGTTGGATATTTACCCGGGGGGGGGGGGGGAGGGGGGAAAATTAAATGGGACTGTGGACTGTCTAAGACCATTATTAGCCGTGCAGAATCATGAAGTTTGAAGTATTCCCGGGGACACAGGAACACGCCAGAAAAGGCTAGTGTGACCGTCGAGTCTCATTAAGGCCATTACCAGCCAAAGTTTGGAAAATCATGAATTTTGATGTCGCACGATGGGTTTTTGGTTCTTGTTGAGAATTGGCCACTTCTCCGGGGGCATCGGAACATGTCTGGGAGGGCTAGTGTGACCATGGACTCTCAATAAGACCATTACTGGCCAAGATTTGTAAAATCATGAAGTTTGATATGTCGCATGATGGGTTTTGGTTCTTGTTGAGAATTGGCCACTTCCCCGGGGCACCGTAACATTTCCGGGATGCCCAATGTGATTGTGAACCATCGAAATAGCTGCCACTGGTCCAATTACAGTTTGAGAGAAAAAAAGCATGATGTTCATCGTGTGTATACTTATTACAGAACAATAAAGCCGAATGCCGACCAAAAGTGACCCCAACGGGAACCGATATAACTCAGGAACCATGAATTGATCAAAATATTTTCAGATGTATTCAGAAACTTCAATAGATTCAAGACAAAATTCAATTTGTTGTAAAGAAAAATATTGAGAAATTATGTTTTTAGAGCTAATTGAATTTTGAAATCTATGCAAATTTAGACGTTAGGTGCAAAGGTTAACAAATTTTTTGTAATTCTGTTTTCGTTCGCATCCACTAAATTAAATTCGTTATTTCTTAGGTTGAACTAGGTAGCACAAACAAACATTCCTTTCATTGTCGCATTCTCCGGTGCTTTGACAGGGGCGTGATCTAGGATATAGTTCATTGCCCTGCCAACACCTCGGCAGTATTGAAATCCGACTACATTTCCAATCACGAACCGATTGTTGCATGTGAATTGGCACCAATCATCCAACGTAGATTTCCTCGTATGTCCCAGGAGATGTATGTTTATAGGGTCTATTCTGAAGTCATAACAGCGGTAGCGATACAATTTATCAGAGCTGACATTATCCTTAACGTATCAAAAGGGCCTGTGAAATTTTTGTTTCAAACGAAAGGGTCTAACGGTACGCTGGGGGAAATTTAAGTACATTTCTCGTTGTACATTAATGGAGTTAATGTACTTAATTTATGCGACTTGTAATTAAAGCTGAAATTTGTACTTAAAAGTAATTAAATCAAAAAATCTCCGACGCTCGTAATTAAAGTAATTAATCATGTAGTTAACTGTAATTATTGTACTTAAAAAAGGCTTGCGTAGGAGTTAAAGGTTATTGCGTGCCCCTCGGGTTGACGTTGGGCCGTGATTGGTCGTTACAATTGTTTTTGTGCTTAGTTCTTTAAGTTGTTTAAAATCTATTAAAATAAAACTCTTTAAATAGTTCAAATGGTGACCGATTGTTTGAAAAGGATCGAACGAAATGGAATCGATACCAACAGTAAGAGCAAAACCGTTAAGGAAGGCTACCGTGTAACCGACGAGTAAATTAATGATTATTGGATCGTTCAAAGTGCCATCAGATTCCTAATAA